TTGACAGATAGCAGAGGCAGTGCAAGTGAGTGAATCTCAGCAGTGGGAGCATGCGATGCAGGAGGAGATGGATTCTCTACTCACTAATGAGGCATGGGAGTTAGCCCAGCTACCTGCACAGAAGAAAGCCTTGCACAATAAATGGGTCTACCGGGTCAAGCAGGAGAGTGATGGAAGCAAGAGATTCAATGCCAGATTAGTAGTGAAATGGTTTCAACAGCGGGAAGGAGTTGACTACACGGAGATTTTTTCCCCTGTTGTGAAACTCACAACCATCAGAGTGGTATTGAGTTTGGTAGCTGCAGAAGACCTCTTCCTTGAGCAGTTAGATGTTAAGACTGCCTTTCTTCATGGTGACTTGGATGAAGAAATCTACATGAAGCAGCCTGTTGGCTTCATTGAAGAAGGAAAGGAAGAGATGGTGTGCAAGCTCAAGAAGAGCTTATATGGTTTGAAACAGGCTCCGAGACAGTGGTATAAGAAGTTTGATAACTTCATGCAGAACAATGGCTACAGAAGATGCAATTCGGATCATTGCTGTTATTTCAAAAGGTTCGAGTCCAGCTTCATTATTTTGTTATTATATGTTGATGACATGTTGGTAGCAGGACCGTGTTTAGAGAAGATAAACAGTTTGAAGAGGCAGCTAGCAAAGGAATTTGCAATGAAGGATCTGAGTGCAGCGAAGCAGATTCTAGGGATGCGAATCAGTAGGGATGAAGCTGAAGGGACATTGAGTTTGAGCCAAGCTGAATACATTGAGAAGGTACTTCAGAGGTTCAATATGCAGAATGCTAAAGTTGTTAGCACACCCCTTGGAAGTCAGTTCAAGTTATCTGAGGAGCAATTGCCTAAGTCAGATGCAGATAGAGAGCATATGAGCAGAGTGCCATATTCTTCAGCCATTGGGAGTCTCATGTACGCGATGGTTTGCACGAGGCCGGACATCGCCCATGCAGTGGGAGTTGTGAGCAGATTTGCAAGCAATCCAGGAAAGCAGCATTAGGAGGCCGTAAAGTGGATAATGCGGTACTTGAGGGGAACAACGAACAAGCCACTATGTTTCAGGAGGAAAGAGTTGGTGCTGCAGGGATACGTGGATGCGGACTTCGCCGGTGATCATGATACGAGGCGAAGCACCACGGGGTATGTTTATACCTTAGCGTCGACAGCAGTGAGCTGGGTCTCACGTCTGCAGAAGATTGTGACTTTGTCTACAACCGAGGCTGAGTATGTCGCGGTGACTGAAGCAAGCAAGGAGATGATCTGGTTGAACGGGTGCTTGGAAGAGTTGGATCTGAAGCAAGGGAGAGGAGTTCTTTATTGTGATAGCCAGAATGCTATACATCTTGCCAAGAATCCAGTATATCATGCCAGAACGAAGCACATCGACGTTAAATACCATTTTATACGCTCGCTGATCGAGGACGGAAAGTTGCACTTAATGAAGATTTTGGGGAGTCAAAATCCGGCGGACATGTTGACGAAGGCAGTCACCATTGAGAAACTGGAGTTGTGCGCAACTTCAGTTGGCCTTCACGAGTAGAAGACGAAGGCGGAGCCACACTACGAGGATCGGCGCGATCGCCGGGATGTTGATTGAAGAAAGAATTTTTCAGGGAAAAGATACATGCGAAGAAGGGGAGAGTTCGGGTGAGCTCGTTGATGACGCTTTGGTCCCCAAGTGGGAGATTGTTAGTCTAAGTGTGTAGACCCAAAGCTGCAATCGAAAAGACGAAGAAAACAGTCAGAAGACTGTGCGGTCGACCGCAGTGGCATATCCGATCGACCGCGTGCACTGCAGGAAACTGAGAAGTTTCTGTCGCTCTGGCCGGTCGACCGGAGTGGTCGCTGCGGTCGACCGATATCGTGCACAAGACCCTGTAGGATTTCGTCGTTCTGACCGGTCGACCGACCTTGGTAAAGCGGTCGACCGCGACGCCGTTTCCCTGTTTCCTATTCTGTTTAGGAATTCTGTTTGGCTGGGGTTTGTTATAAATACCCAAACGTTTTTAGGGTTTGTAGGACATCAAAAAGGGAGCTTTTTGACTGCAAAAGAGAGAGAGAATCTCAGAGAGATTTACCCCTTGTTTGAGAGCTTGTATTTTCTTCTTCAATTAATAGAAAGATTGTGTGGTGTGGCTCCCGAGGACGTAGGCACGTTGTCGAACCTCGTTAAATCTGTGGGTTCGTCTCCTTTACTGTTTTTACAAGGTTAGATCTTTATTTGTGGTTTATTCCTACTTTCCTACTTTCAACACAAGGTCCGGAAGGGCAAGGGTTCGATTGATTGTTTCGAATCCCCAACAGTTACACAATTCAAACCCTAATAAAACTCTAATTATGACTATTATCCTATCACATGTAATACCTCATGCCTATATATAAACCAAGAAAGTACATACTTTTCATAGTAAATTCATCTCCTTCGACATGTATGTTTCTTTTCTATTTTCATGATTATTCTTTAAAAAGATTTTGTATTTGATTAAATGGTGATATTTGTTTTACACTGCAATTATTTTTTATGGCAATTGATTTTTTTTTCTTCAATTTTCATGCAGAAATTAGAGGGTTAAGGATTTGAGTGTTGCAGGTTCTCCCATCTATCAAGGTAAATCTTCATGTTTGATATTATTTTACTTTAGATTTATTTGATTATACTTTCCTCTTCTATTTTTTTTTTAATTTTTTTCTTTGCATGCTTTTAATTAGAGAGATGAAAGAGTATCATGTAAACTAAAGAAGACACTATCCTTTCATGAAAAGTCAAATTTCAAAATACCAACAAATTTTTATTGATGAGTCTGAAGCTAGATAAGCTGTACCAATAAAATATTATATAACATTAAGTGGGATAACCAATCTGAAAACTAACTATAACTGTGCTGACAAATTAATACCTTTTCAAATCCAACTAGAAATCACCCTATAAAAAAAAAACATAACTCCAAAAAATAAAAAAATTACAAATTTTGGGAGCATGGCAGCATGCAAGTACTCTGCACAATCACTAGATACCCACATGAACTAAACAAACAATATCTCTCAAATTTCATTACAACATCATTAAGTATCATTAACAAACATAAAACTTAATAAAAAAATAAATTACGCTACCAATCACAACAAGTTTTTAAAAATTTAAAAATAAAAACCCGATACCTGTATCGGAGTCCATCCACAAGGATCAGGATAAAGCTCAGAGCCATTCCACCAGTCCCCCACAAATCCTTCAATCGCAGAATACAAGGCCTCTTTCTCCCCTCCCTCCATTGGAGCAACAACGCTACTCATTTCCGAATCACAAAGTCCGATATCAAAACAGAGGAGGGCCGCAACAAGGAAGAAAGCGACTTGGGCCGCCTTAGTTTTCTCCATCTGAGCTCTTCTGCTCTGAGATTGAGAGCTCAAGAGAGGAGAGAAATAGAGCAGATGGGCTTCAAGAGTCTCATATCAGAAGTGCTTTTGAAAGTGGGGTGGTATTGAAAGGAGCGAAGGGGAGCAGAGAATGGAAATGAAGCAAGAGATGGGGCTCTTTTCGTTGGCTTTGTTGTTATTACTGAGAAAGGAAGGGAAATTTGGTGTTGGGGAACCTTCAAACACCTTATTATAATTTTTATATTATCTTATATTATCTTAACATGTTCTAACATTTTCTCTCGATAACACATTTAAATTGTTTAATATCAAAATAGCATAAAAATTAATTCAATGTCGTTAACATTCTAACGATTAGAATGTTCTAATATGACTCTCAAGAGCTTGTGTTTGATTCCGAAATAGATTATCATTTAACAACAAAATAAATAAATAAGGTAAAAAGTTAAGATGCATTTTATAAAACCCAAATTACTTTGGGGCATTTTCCTCGAAACCCTCAATACTTTGATTATTTTCACATAACTTCTAAAGTGACAGCAAGGTTCATCAATCACTTTGAGCGTTATGCAGGGAAACTATTTGGTGTTTTTGGTGGGAATAACAAAGCATGAGGGGTTTTGTGAATTTTGCCCGAAAATTTTGCTATGAGTATTCTACTCCTACATTGAACAGAAGAATTTTTTTTTAAGACCATTGCTCTTCACATGCAGTCCCCAAGATGGCTAATAATGGTAATAGTACTAAAATACCTGTACATCTAAATCAAAAAGATATAAATCTTCGTTGTCACTATTCAGCAAGAGCAGTGCTGCAGTAGTGAAAGAAATGCTGAAGACTGAAGTGATTGAAATGTAGTTCGCAAAAACTTCAAAAAATAAAAGTATTTAAGTTTTACTTACTTTTGGGTGAGCCACAATAGATACCATAATATGAGAGCATTAACAACTGAAAAGAGTTCACTCGGTTACTTATATGTTTCAGGGGTAAATTCAGAAAATATTTCGTAAAGGATGGATAATAAATATATTTTTATTTAAAAATAAAAATAAAATGTTGTAAATATTACTATCAGGTCCATTGAGTCTATTAGACTTTGATTATTGAAAAGTTAAATAAGCTTCTACTCTTCCGAGGGTTAATTTAATTTGCTACTAGCTTATTTAGTATTTTTAGATAGGTTGGAATACAATATTTTTAATTTATGGAGGTAAATTGTAAATATTACTTATGATTGACAATCAATCTGCTGCATATAAATTATGATTAAATATTCAATTTCACATTCTTATCTTATCTGTAGCCGCATTGAAATCGAACTGCATTGAAATCAAACCGCATTTGAAAGCAAATCCATGAACAGTGTAGATATGAACGCCTACTGCATATAAATATTGATTAAATATTCAATTTCACATTATTATCTGTAGCCGCATTGAAAACAAACTACATTCATAACAAAGCGCAGAACGGTGTAGATTTGAACGCTTGCTGTATATTACAAATCCCCGTTTGATTGTAACACAATTCAAATCATAATAAAACTCCAATTATGACTATTATCCTATCACATGTAATACCTCATGCCTATATATAAACCAAGAAATTAAATAATTTTTATAGTAACTCCATCTCTCCTTCAACATGTAAGTTTTTTTCCATGATTATTCTATAGAAATTTTGTGTATTTGATTTAAGAATGACACTTGTTCGACACTATAATTACTTTTTATGGCAATTGATATTATTTTAAAATTTATTCAATTTTCAATTGTCATGCAGAATTTAAAAGATTAAAGATTTGATTGTTGCAGGTTTCCACATCAAGGTAAATTTTCATGTTTGCTATTATTTTAATTTAGATTTATTTTATTATGCATTTTAATTAAATAAACCGAAATAGAAAACATATACTTTTCATTTTTTTTATTTTTTTAATATTTGAGAGTGTTTTATATTCATTTATAAAAATATAAGTTCAAAGATCCTCATTATATAAGTAATAAGTTCAAATATTTTGCACCAATGCATTGACCAACATAATTTATAGAATAATCTTCTTATCAGAACTATGACTTGCTGTAAATGATACAAATAACATGTATATTTAATGCAAAATGTCCAAATAATGTTTACCCATGGCCAGTTGTTGTAGAGCGCAAGCTCTAAATTAAAAAGATGAAATATTAACCAAACTACAAGCAGCTGCCATCGTGACCATCCAGTTTGGTTGTCAAGGAAATTACGTGAAAAGAATGTATCCTGATCAAAACTTGATGCTAGATGACAAGCAGATAAAGAACCTCCATAGAATCGCGAGCAAATGATGATGGAGCAACATAATAAAACATCCAGGAGACAAAAGGATAGTAGTAATGGTAGTAGTAGAACAAAATAACTAAAAACAAAAAAGTGAAAAACAGTAATAATCAGAGAGAAAGTGTAAGAAAACTAAGCAGAAACTATCTAATTGACAAACAAATACTGGAGGGAGTTATTTCAGCTTACAACACAATGCCTGAAAACCATATAGTCAACATCACAACTCAAGTTCAAGCTAATAGTTATATATCCCTTGATTAAGTTGAATTATAATTTTCACTACAAAAAAAAGAAGAGTTAGGGGCAATTATTTTCGTCACTTTTAATTCAATTAGAGGCAAATAAATGGAATTATCTGCCTCTAATTACATGAGTGGCAAATCTCGTATCCGCACCTAAATGTGGTGTTGCTAATAGTTAATAGGGGCAATATTGCACAAACTTCCGCCCCAAATACTCAATGCGCCACCTCAGCAGGTTTATTTGAAAAAGTATTAGAGGCAAATATAATCGCCTCTAATAACTTATTAGGTGCAGATGTAAATGCCCCAAATAGTTAGAATTAAAATAAATGTATTAATTTAAGGTACAAATATAATTGCCTCTAATAACTTAAATTTGATATTAATATTTTTATTTTTTAATAAATCTGGAAAAAATAATTAATTTTTAATTCATATAATTAAATTGAAAAACAAACATAAAATAATTGAAACATGAATAATTTTGATTAATAAGAAGTCAATCCAATTTGATTACATAATAATGTACCAAAATTACTTAAAAAGAGTGACAAATAGTACTTAACAATAACTTAAATAACCAACAAAATTGACCTTCAACATGAATGTAAAAATATCTAACTTTTATCCCCGCCATTCCTATCACAACATGAATGTAAAAATATCTAACTTTTACCCCCGCCATTCCTATCATTTAGTGGCATCATCTGCTGCATAAAATCTGAATCATTGAGCATTGCTGTAAACTCTCCAGGTGGGGTTGGCACTGGGCGGTACAAAGGTGGCTGGTATGGATGGGGGTAGTAGAACTTATTACTTGTCTAAATACAAATGATTAAATTTCAAACTCACCGCCAATTCCTCCGATGCATCATCTATCCAACTTTTGTTTTCATCTCGCCATTTGTGCACTATATAAAACATCTCAATAGGATCGGGTTTGCGACCATGTTTTTGCTCCTATTTGTAAAACACAGAAAAACAATCTGCAAAGGATTGGATAATACCATGACAAACTGCAAAGCAACTTTTTATCGGTGAACGGTAAAAGAGACATTTTTAAAGTTTGAAAGAGTTAGAACATTTAATTCAAGTCAAATTTTACCACTCAAACTATAACACTGACCTCGGTCATACCATAGCGTTCCAAAAGGCGGTGACCTGTTACAGCTTCCCGTTGCTTCAGAACAGGATATGGAAGTGCAGATGACCCACCCATCTAGGGAGAAGCAATTAGGAATTCAATGATAATACTATAAAATATGGGTCTAAATATTCAAGATTAACATAAATTAAGAAAGTCTTCTGCAATATGTAATCATTATAGAAGTATTAAAGTGCTTGAAATTCAGTAAACAAATCGGGAAAAAATGCATCACGGCATAAATTGCATGGATACTTCATTCCAGGACATTACCTACATCTGGTGCATATGTGATGCTGAGACAGTGAGATGCATAATGGATTCTCCTAGACATCCTAAAATTCATAATGTGAATCTGAATTTTAAGCGGAAGATTGTAATTCAAATGGCCTTATAGTGGCATGTTGATTAAACAAAAGATAAGGCATAACAAATACCAGTTGAAACAGTATGACAGGAAAGTAACTTACTTTTGCCTCTCTTCATATCAAGTTTGGGGAACAATGTTTTTCACCCTTCTTGTTCCCCACTCGCCACCAAATTGATAACAATCTTTTCCATTAACAAACAGCCACAGATAGTCAGTTGTTAGACATCCAAACTAGTTGTTTCGCTAAGAACCAACACGAACCACAAAACAATAAGTTTCAAGTATATGGATCAGCATGCAGATATCAATACACATAGGGTACCTTGGGAATATCGGATATGCCTTTAATTTAATACTCTGCATAAAAAGTCCCTGATTTTTTTTATATGCCTTTAGTTTAACACTCTGCACCAACCATGAAATCTTCTACAAGTGTATTCATTGGAATCATGAAGAACCTCTCTAGAATCCTAGAAGAACCTTTGTGGAGGAGAAGAAATGATATTTGAAGGTTACATGGTTGAATTCAAGTATTGACCCCAGGCAAAGAAACATACTATTAACTTTCAGCCAACCAGAGTAAAAGTTCAATCTATTACAACTACTATGATTCCAAAATTTTAATTTATATTCTAGAGGAACTAACATGATCCTCCTTCAAAAGTTATTGCTAGAACTTTCTACCAATTTTGAAAGAAAACCATGGCAAGTTCAAATGATTCTAATTGATGTGGAAACCTTCAAAGGTATTCAACCTAACCATCTGTCGAGGTGATCAGTTAGCAAAGACATTTTGACATAATTGGGAAACTCATAAGTTTATTTAAAAAAGGTCATGGTAAATAATAATTCAAGCTCATAACCACAATTAACATTACAAGAAATCAAGTCTTTAACGACCAAAATTAGTGAAGGGGTCATGTGACCGTCATTAATGTGTATAAATTAACGACAGTTTTAAAAACCTTCATCGAGTAATCACAAATATTAGAGTAATGATGTGAGATAAGATAACGGTTTTTTAGTCCCTTCATTGATTTGATTCTAATACCGTTGTTATTAGGCCCCCTGAAAGACGAAGGAGTCCATTACCGTCATTAATTATAACTCCTAATCATATCAGGAATACTAATCAAAATATTATAAAGAACCGCACCCAAACCTCCCTATAACCGCAACTAATAAACCCTAAAAAATCGTGTTACTGTTCATCCTCTTCTATTCATCGCCTAATCTTCGTCGTGCCTGCCCCAGCGCCAGCGTCGTGCCCACCCCAGCGCCAGCGTCACTTGGTCTTCGTCGTACCCGCCTACCCTAGTGCCAGCATCAGCCTAGTGCCAGCACCGCCCCAGATCAAGCCCCTGCGCTGCCCCAGCGCCGCCCTATCCCCAGCGCCGCCTAAGCACTAACGTCGTCCTATGAATCAGTCCAGTGCCACCCTAGCGCCGTCCTCAGTCGAGCACCCTCCTCCGAATCAAGACTTGAACTCAGTTTTCTCTATCTTCACGCTTTTCATCGACCAAAATCAGGTAACTTCTTTGTCTATTGATGACATAATCTATCCGTCCTCCGAATCAACACTCAAATTGCATACACACCTAATTATATATCTGTTTATTGATGATCTGATTTTTTGACATTATCATATGTGAATATCTAGGGCTTGAATATTTGAATCTCTATAATTATATATCTTTTCGTAATTTTGATACTTTTTGTTTTTGTTTTTCATGGAGGGGAAGAGTGTGAAGAGTACTTCCAGGTTGCGGAGTGGGAGAGTATACATTCATCTCTTCTTCTCTTTTGCAAATATTATATTACTGCCTTTATTGCTTAAACATTTCATTTCAGTACTTGAATTTATCGTCAACCAATAAATTTTCCTTGTTGAGGTGCAATTGGTGATGCCTGTGTACTTTGATTTGAAATATTTATTTAGTAATCTATGTGAGTTTCATTTTGTTATGCACGACATCCTATGACCTGATTTATTTGTTATTTGCTTAGTTTTGCTAGTGTGATTGGATATGCCCATTATTTAATTTAAAGTCCATCTAAAGATATCTGATGTTGGCTAAAGTTTGCTTTAACATGATATCTCATACCTGAAATTGTCCATAAGATAAATATTTGTTATAGTATGCCAGTTTGCTTCATTCTTGTATTTCATCCATTAGTGTCAAAAATAGACTTGGTTATTTTGTTGCCTGTTCTCTGAATTTTAGTCCATGTTGATCTTTAATGTTAGCATCATCTTGCTCTACTTTGTAATATCAACTCTTGAGTTCTGACAATTTTGCTTCTGTTTGAATGTTGTGCCTTCTTCTGAATTTTGGTCCATTGTGCTTAAAGATGATATCTCAGTACTGAGTTTATCAGTAATGTTGATAATATTTGATGTGGCATGCAGACAAAGTGATCATTCAGCGTGTTTCAACTGGTAATCTACAAAAAAAAACTATTTGGCTCACGGACCAACCGTGAGCCCCAACTCGCGTGAGAGGACCAAGGGGGGTGGGCCCCACAGCAGTGTGGGGCCCACCCCCTTGTTCCTCTCACGCGAGTTGGGGCTCAGGGTTGGACCACGAGCCAAATAGCAATGCTCGGTAATCTACATGCTTAGTCCTATTGCCTATATCTGATTTGACATATGTGATGATCTTATGTTAGTTTCAGTTTATTATAGTCGCATTCTGTTACTTGAATTTATCTCGTATTTTATCTTACTTTTGCCAGCATGCTTCATTCTCTTTTTTATTAATGTAGTCTAATTTTGCTTAAAATGGAGTCTCAGAATCTGAATTTAGCCATAAAAGAAAATGTGTTTGATCTAATATGCTAGTGTGCTTCATCTCTTCGTCCGCTGTAATTGAAAACTGTCTTCCACTTGCCCACAGTGCCTGCATTTATTGGTAAAATGCATGTTTTTCATGAAGTCGCACTTCTAAATTTGCCTTCTATGGGGCTACTTATATTTCTAAGTACATAGCCAGTAACTGCTCTGAAATTATCAGTTACACATAATTGAATTTATCAGTAAAATGTCTGTCTTTCATGAAGCTGCACTTCTAGTTAGTTTGCCTTCTACAGGGCTACTTATATTTCTAAGTACATAGGCAGCAACTGCTCTGAAATTATAAGTAACCTTACATACTAGCATTGATCCTGGATTTAATGGCACCTGAATTTAATATTTCTAAGTACATATCCAGTATAAAATTAGCAATCACGGATAATATTTTCTTAGTAATCACAGTGTGTCTCTTAATACATAGAGTGGACATAAATAGCAAAGCCTCTATCCTACACGTAGAAGGGACTTGCTTTATGAATTTATCAGTAATCTTAGATACAAAACCTTTAATATGGCCGATTTATTGGCACCTGCATTTATCAGTAACCAATAATATTTTCTTAGTAATGCTAGTAAGTAGAATATATATTTAAGTTTGATAATGATGCATTATATAGTACTAACATATGAATTTAATTTTTATAGGATGAAATCGTTCAAGTCAAACAAGCAACCCCTTCACTTTTAGACATTGAGATAATTGAGAAAATTTAGGGGAAGCAATCTCATGACCACATTACTATATTTTGTGGCGGGACAACTTTGAAAGATCTAAGAGGACCGCTCCCTAGTCGATCTGATCTGGAAGCACTGGTTATAGAAGAAAAGAAAAAGAATCAGACGCTTCAATAACGCTTAAATGAGTAGGGGCAACAACAACATCAACAACAACAAAGGATGTCAGACTTATAGAGTCACAAGTTAAAGCAATGCATGAACTTTTTTTAAGGCAACATTAATTTAATACTTCATTGACTCCTCAAACTCGAGAACATGTGCAGAATTAGGTAATTATTTTTGTAAAATCTCTTATATACTTTTATGGTTGACTACTTGCACTAGAGAAAATACGATTTTTACCTAATAAGACAATATTTGTTTAATTGATATTTCTTAATTATGTGATTTTTTATTTGTTTTCAGGAAATCCACCTGATGTGGCACAAATGTTTCATTAAACTCGAAAGAAAGCTAATGAAACACTAGATATTGGGGATCAAGATAAATATGTAAGTAGAATATGTGTTTAAGTTTGATAATGATATATTATATAGTACTAACATATGAATTTAATTTTTATAGGATGAAACTGTTCAAGTCAAACAAGCAAACCCTTCACTTTCTGACATTGAGATAGTTGAGAAAATCTGGGGGAAGCAATCTCATGGTCACATCACTGTATTTGGTGGCGGGACTACTTTAAAAAATTTGAGAGGACTGCTCCCTAGTCGATCTGATCTGGAAGCACATGTTATAGAAGAAAAGAGAAAGAACCAGATGCTTTAACAACGCTTAGATGAGCAGGAGCAACAACAACAAAGGATGTCTGAGTTGGACTCACAAGTGAAAGCTATGCAAGAACATTTTTTTAGGCAATCACCTTCATTGACTCCTCAAACTCGAGAACGTGTGCAGGACTAGGTAATTATTTTTTGTAAAATCTTTTATATACTTTTATGATTGACTACTTGCACTAAAAAATATGATTTTTACTTAATAAGATAATATTTGCTTCATTAATATTTCTTAATTATGTGATTTTTAAAAATTTTTCAGGCTATCCATGCAAGATTAGGAGGGGGTAGCTCGAGTCTTCTTTTGATGATGATTAGAGATAAAAGAATGTGTTTTCCACAAACTTTTATTTTAATTTGTTTTAGATAGTTTCATGTATTTTTCTTTGGAACGATTAGGATATTAACTCTTGTTATTAGTATTGAATATTTGAGGATGGTGGAATTTTATTTATTTATGTTATTAATGGAATTTTTATTTTCCCTCTTGTTCATTATTGGGTATTTTTAATATATTTTTGTTGTGAATCTTAATGTCAGATTGAGAATAATATGATAGTTGCCTATGAATGAAAAAATTATTATTAATGTATATTAGAAATTTATAGTCTATAATGACGGTTTTATAAACCGTATTTTGTTCATCAACGAAGGGAAAGCACCGTCGTTGATGGGTTACTAATTACCCATTATGAGGACTTTTACGATGGTATCCAACCGTCATTAATTAGTCTTCAACGATGGAAAAATGTCCCCGTAACTAATGGTGACGACGGGAAAATATCCCCGTAACTATTGGTAACGACGGGAAAATATCCCGTCACTGATGGTAACGACGGGAAAATATCCCCATCACTGATGGTAACGACGGTGATAATTACCGTCGTAAATATTAACGACGGTAATATGTTCCGTCGTTATAGATTCTATAACGACGGGTAGTATATCCCTTCATGACCCTTTAGCGAAGAGGGTTTCAACGACGGGTGACGAAGGGATTTTTCTCCATCGTTAACATACAATAACGAAGGTTTTCAGCTCTTTAACGAAGGGAAATCCCTTCGTTAAAGACGTAATTTCTTGTAGTGTAACATCATGACAACAGCCATCACTATCATGAGTTGATAAGAACTACTGCATTGACATACAACCCAACATTAGGCTAATCAAAATATAAATTCAATTACAAAGTGCAAAAGGAAACTATCCAAGTGAGCTAGTTACAAATCCTAGAAGCCTTGTTGGCTAATAGGAAGATGGTACCTTATTAGGCATGGAGTTTAAGCTCAAGCATCAATAGAGCAGCACTTGAAATTTGAAAAATCTCCTAGAGTAAGAATCTATAACAAGGGGAAAGAAATGGATCTGCCATAGCTAATTGCATACAACTCCAAAGCACAACACAAATTGAATAAAATCAATTGCCACAACAGAAATCTCTATCTCAAGTAACCCTATTTTATATTTTCTCCAACCTTAAAAGTCAAATTCATCCCATGCAAGTCTGATCTCTGTTCATGTACTAGAAGAAACAAAAAAAATATATATAGAAACAAACTCTGTTATTTTATCCAAGCCATTCCTAGTGCATAAGTTCACTTCCTTCAGAAATACCCAATATGTAATAACAGAGCTAAGTCACCATCTTCCTTCCAACCAAAGCAACATATATTGTCCAATGATCCTATACAAATTTCCCAAGCAGTCCAGTTTACCGAAATCTCTCATATGACACTTTAATAGGATTTGTAATGTCCTTTAGGAACCCAGGGTACAATGTTATCTGTCTCAGCTTAAATTAAACATGGAAATAAGCTGGTTGCTGACACTGAAAGATTTTGAAGAACAAAATGAGATAAATGTGGTTACCACAATGTTTCTCCCATCAAGCACAATCCTAGCACCACTTTCAATGCCACTTTGTATCAAACTGCAAATGCGATCTTTTGCCTGTTGATTCAAGGCAGGCGACAAAAGAAGTTTGCAGAAGTATACGTTAGTAAGGAATTGCATAAGGAGAACTGAAACAAAAAACTAGTATTCTGCAGCTTCACCTGTTTGCTAATAACTGGACCAAGGTCTGTCCCAGGCTCAACACCAGCATTTACTTTCAGGGCACTGGCACGTTTAGTTAATTCTTCCTCCCTAAAAACCGGACATTTTCAGAAGACTCACTAAGGCGTTCGATAAAATCCCAAAATCGATTCAATTACAAAATTTAAAGGGAGAAACGGCAGAGCAGCACCTGAAAGATTGAGATGGCGGCGGTGAACTCCGACGGAGATGTTGTCGATGAGATGGCGGCGGTGAGATGGCGGCGAACTCCGATGAGATGTTGCCGATAAGGTCCCGACTCCCAAAATCGCTGCTTTGAATCGTGGAGAAGAGAGAGGAACAAGACGGAGATGTTACCGATGACATGGCGGCGGTGAACTCCGATGGCGGCGGTGAACTCCGACGGCAGCGGGCGAACTCCGACGGCAGCGGAGAACTCCGACGGCACGGGGTTTGGGGGAGAGAGAGAGAACGGGGGATTTGGGGATTTCTGATGAGAGAGAGAGAACGGGGGATTTGGGGATTTCTTAGAGGAGAGAGCAGAGAGAGACGGTTTCTTTAGCAGGCACGTCATTTATTTCCTCTTTTTCGGCGAAAAATAAACGGCGGAAATTGCCTCCGCAAATACGTTTCGGCGACACAGAGATGACACAAAGACGCGTGCAAATTACATTAGGGAGCGGATATATTATATATGTAGTATAGAGTATAATTATATATATATATTATATATATATATATATATATATATCTATATATATATATATATTATATATATATATATATATATATATATATATATGCCACTATTTAGTTCAAATTACTTAGTTTGACGTCTCTATTATTTTCAATTCACGCCAAACTTGTAAGGGTATTATAAATCGCCCCAAATAATAGTAATAGGCACATATTCAACATTTGCATCTAATTCATAATTAATAGAGGCAAACCATTATTTCCGCCCCTAATAGATCGCCCCAAATACTCACTTTTTTTGTAGTGTTTAAAGTATATTTTCCCCTTTTATTGTTGATATAATTTTCATATGGTTTTTCATTTTCTGACACATATTTTTTACCTATAGGATAATATCATCTCAATTCCAATTTTGTACTCAAGATTTATTCCAAAATTACTAGTATCAGGTTAGTATTGAATATCAATGTTTTTTTATTTTAATTGTGATAGTGATTATAGTTGATCGTTTACTTTTGAATTTTTATGAAAATTTACACTAAATTGTCTAACTATCTACATTGCTCATATATATTCATAAATTAATGGTAATATGACATATTATTTTCCTTTGTAGAAATTAATTCTCTGGGGTTTGGATAACATAACACTTTATTGGATAAAATGGCTTCAAGCCAATGTTTGCATTGAACTCAATAAAAAAGTATTCATATATTTTTATATTAGTATATGTGTATGTATTTATAATAATACATGAACATTTTTTTAAACAGTATTCATATATTTTTATATTAGTATATGTGTATGTATTTATAATAATACATGAACATTTTTTTAAACAGAAAAGACCACTCCAATACCCAGAATTGAAAAAACAAAATATTCTCGGTTGAGTGATGAGCAAAAGAAATCTTACATTCAGAGAAGTGCGGATAATAAGAGAAAGCGACACAGTAATGACTCTTCTGGTAATACTATTAATGACAAACGACAACGTAAAGTTGACTTATTTTGTGGAGCCCTTCTACTGGCCTATGAGCATGAAGGTTAGTGTAGATATACTTTATAATTTATTAAAAGAGCCATATAACATTATATATTAGTTTATTAATTATTTATATTTGTTCTAGGGCAAATACTTCATGAACCGGTATGTTCTTTACTATATAAGCTACGCACTCCAAAGTCTTGTGCATATTGTGGATCCAAAAAGTTTGAACATGAGCCTCCAACTTTTTGTTGTCACAACGGTGAAATCCACCTAGCAGATGTGAATATTCCAAATGAATTATTTGCCCTTTATACAATGCATACACCAGAGGCAATTGAGTTCCGAAGCCACACCAGAATGTACAACAGTATTTTCTCATTCACATCGTTTGGGGCAAGATTTGATAAAGAGCTCGCATCAAATAGAAAAGGACTTTTCACATTTAGAGCACAATGGCAAATATATCATAATCTCCCGGCTCTAATTCCAAAGGAAAATAAGCCTTCATACTTTCAGGTTTACTTCTATGATACAGAGAATGAGTTGCAAAATCGATTGGGAATTCTAGACAATGCAAATATGAGTGAAAGCACAACTAAGAGCTTGATGGATATATTACAAGGAAACCCATATGCAAAGTTCCTTCGCAAATTGAATGATTATCAATCTTTTGAAGAATTAAAGATACTAATAAATAGTGACGTTGCACTAGATCAACGTGTTTACAACTCACCAACAGCAGATCAGGTGGCTGCAATCTGGGTTGAAGGAAATAATGACAATGCACCATTTGAGAGAGAGATTATTGTCCATGCACACTTAGGAGGAAGACATCAAGTGAAACACTATTTTGGTTGTTATGATCCACTGCAGTATCCCTTACTCTTTCCAAATGGAGAGGTTGGATGGCATCAAAATATTAAAAGAAGGGATAAAAGGGATATCAGAGCTGTCAATCAACAAAGAACTATAATACCAACTTTAATATCTCCACCTACCTTCACATCTGCAGAAGACATATTTAACCGAGAAAGTGAAGGTAAATTTTAATTCATATTTCTAAGTAATATTATTATATATGAACATAGATTAACGCCTAAATTTACAGGTGTCAAGGCACCAAAACCCGGAAAAATCTCATGCCGAGATTATTATTGTCATAAGCTCCAGATAAGAGACACACGACAATCTTTTATACTTACATCAGCAGGTCGTTTATTCCATCAATATGTTGTTGATATGTACATAAAGCTTGAAACAACAAGGCTTGATTACTTTAGAAATAAACAATCAGAAATCAGAGCAGAGTTATTCCAAGGCATTGTCGACAGTGTAGCTGTCGACGAAGCAAATGCAAGCCAAGTAGGCAAAAGAATAGTTCTTCCATCATCATTCATAAGTGGTCCTAGAGACATGCGTCGCAGATACCTTGATGCAATGTCATTAGTACAACGATTTGGAAAGCCAGATCTTTTTATAACAATGACATGTAATCCAGAATGGGAAGAGATCATTGAGCAACTACATCCAGGCCAAAGCCATAATGACAGGCCAGACCTAACCTCAAGGATATTTCGAGCAAAGCTCCAAGACTTGAAAGATCAACTATTTAAGAAGGAGATCTTTGGGAAAGTTGTCGCACATGTTCATGTGATTGAGTTTTAAAAAAGAGGGCTACCACATGCACATATATTAATAATTCTTATTGGAGATCACAAGATCACATTATCAGATCAGTATGATAAATATGTATCTGCAGAAATTCCAGACCAATCCAAACACCCGATCCTCTATGAATTGGTAAAAAACATATGATGCACGGACCTTGTGGAGAGTTGAACATGAAGAACAGTTGCATGCAAAATGGAGAATGCAAATATCACTATCCTCGTGATTTTAGCTCACAATCAATTCAAGCAAAAGATGCTTACCCAATTTATAAGAGAAGGAATGATAACAAAACAATGTTGGTCCGCAATAAAATCCTTAATAATCAGTGGGTTGTACCTTACAATCCATATTTGCTGACACGTTATAATTGTCACATTAATGTTGAAATATGCTCAGGCATTAAAGCAGTGAAGTATCTTTACAAATACATATATAAGGGTCATGATAAAGTGGCAGTAAACATTGAATATAATGAAGGAGGAAGACTTGTGAATGAAATCAAAAATTTTCAAGATGCAAGATGGGTATCAGCTCAAGAAGCTTTGTGGAGAATATATGAATTCTATCTTAATGAGATCTACCCAGCTGTCATCAACTTACAACTACACTTGCCTAATCAATAGTTTGTTTCCTATTGGAAAAATCAAGACCTATCGAAGCTCATCCGCTGGGACCATGTCCACAAGACGATGCTTACAGAATTTTTTACACTATGTTAAAAAAAAAAGAAGCCAACAAATCAAAACCAAAAAAGGATCAAAAAAAGGAGTTATTATATTGTGAACTTCCCGAATATTATGTTTGGGATTCGACAACAAAATGTTGGAGTTCAAGAAAACAGAGACAGGTGATAGGCCGTATAAATGGTGCTAATCCAATTGAAGGGGAAAGATATTACTTACGCCTTTTACTTACTCACATCAGATGCCCCACCTCATTTGAGAATCTATTGACCGTGGATGGAATTCAATGCACATCATTCAAACATTCAGCTCAAAAATTAGGTTTATTGGAATAAGATAATAGCATCAGAGAATGCTTAGATGAAGCCGTCATCTTTCAAATGCCAGCAACCCTTCGCCGCCTGTTTGCAACCATACTGGTTCACTGTGAGCCCGTAGATGTTAATAAATTATGGGATCGATACCTTGACTCATTATCTGAAGACTTCTCAAGGAAACCTGGTGCTACGAAAGTTTCGATTATAAACGACACCCTTTGCAACATTAAATTCTTCTTAGAGAGCATGGGAAATGATATCAAGAAATTTGATTAACCGCCTATTCAAACTAACCCTCATTCAAAAGGAAGTTCATACCCAAGAGAAATTCAAGATGAACTCAATGTACAAATTCCAGATGAAGACCTCAATGCTGAATCATCACTCAATTCAGAACAATATAATGCATACACTTCCGTACTATCACGAATTCAAGGAAATAAAAGTGGGATTTTCTTTATTGATGGGCCAGGAGGAACTGGGAAGACATTATTATACCGTGCTTTGCTAGCCAAAGTAAGATCAGAAGGGATGATAGCTCTTGCTACAGCGACATCAGGCGTGGCAGCAGTAATAATGCCTGGAGGCCGAACAGCACATTCCAGATTTAAGATAAAAATCCCAACAACAGAATCATCTATGTGTAGCATATCCAAGCAAGATGGAACCTCAAAGCTGATTAAGATAGCTAAGTTAATAATTTAGGATGAAGCTCCAATGGCTAAACGTGTTGTAATTGAAACATTAGATAGAACATTAAGGGATATAATGGATCAAGATGAACCATTTGGTGGCAAAGTAATAGTATTTGGTGGGGATTTCAGACAAGTTTTACCAGTAGTACCTCGTGCAACAAGATCACAAACTGTTAGAGAAAGTTTAGTAAGCTCATATTTGTGGAGCAAAATGGAAAAGTTGAAGCTATCGAAGAATATGAGAGCAAGAACAGATTCAACATTTAGTGAATTCCTTTTAAGAGTTGGAAATGACGATGAACCGACAGTGGCTGATGAGCTAATAGCATTGCCCACTTCTATTTTGATAAAGAATCAAATTGATGATTTACCGGAAGATTGTCTAATAAATGCAATTTTCCCATCTTTAGATGACAACTTCAAATCCATTGACTATATGAAAGATCGAGCTATCCTGGCAACAAAAAATGAATATGTCGACATGCTAAATGATAGAATCATAAAGCAATTTCCAGGTGAAGAAAAAGAATTTTACAACTTTGATGAAGCAGTTGATGACACTAATCATCACTACCAGCCAGAATTCCTAAACACGTTGCTACCAAATGGACTACCACCCCACAAGCTAGTATTAAAGAAACATTGTCCTATTATTTTATTAAGGAACCTGGATCCGACTAATGGGCTATGCAACGGAACAAGAATGATATGTCAAGATTTTAATTGTAATATAATCCATGCTAAGATCACAATGGGCCAACATGCAGGGAAAGAAGTTTTCTTGCCAAGAATACCATTATCTCCAGCAGAAGATGAAGGGTTCCCGTTCAAGTTCAAACGAAAGCAATTTCCAATACGGCTATGTTTTGCAATGACAATCAATAAATCACAAGGACAAACAATTCCTCATGTAGGCATCTATCTACCTCAACACGTTTTCTCTCATGGACAGCTGTATGTTGCTTTATCACGAGGGACTTCAATGACAACAACCAAAGTCCTAATAATATCAGACGGGCAATTTAAAGAATATGAAAGATACAAAAAAAATATAGTATACAAGGAAGTCCTCCAGCCAACAAACATGAAATGAACTTCAAAGTCGCAATAGCTATTCTAAAGGTAATTAATTTATAAGAATAATTACATATGTTCATTCATGTTCATTCCTATAATTTATAATTTTCAATATTGTATAACTTTTTCCCTTTAGCTTTCACTTTTTAACCCCACTCAAACTATATTATTAGTTAAAAATATTCAAAACCTTATGAGGAACAAGAATTAATAAATTCATTTTCTAAGATATGTTATATTCAGTTAAAAATATTCAAAACCTTATGAGGAACAAGAATTAATAAATTCATTTTCTAAGATATGTTATATTCTATAATATTGTTAACCTTATGAGGAACAAGAATTAATAAATTCATTTTCTAAGATATGTTATATTCTATAATATTGTTCAAAGCTAACATGTATATTTTAATCCATTTAACAGAAAATATGATTACCGGTATTGAAGAACAAACTCAGCACATCCAAATAAGCCAGCTCAAGAAGTTTCAGAAGGAATGGACCATTCATGTTATCATATTTCGAAGTGCAGAGGCAACTTACAAAAATGCAAAAGGATCAGGGAAAATACTAAAGCTAATTCTTGCAGACGCAAAGGTAAAATAAAATTATTTTAAATATTATATTGTTTGCCCAACGTTACATCTGATCATATGAATATTGCTAAATCTCATTTTCTAATCGGTAAATTACATTAAAACACTGATAACTATCAGAATGGCTTTTTATGATGTTTCCCTGTTTACATATAGTATATAGATTAGTATTAATTAATTATATTTTCCATGCATTGATATCTGGTGTTAATAAATTTGCAGGGTAACAAAATACAAGCAGTAATGTACGGAGATACTATCGAAAAGTTTATAGATATGCTTCAAAAAAATCAAATTATTTTCATTTCAAATGGAGAAGTGAAAGGAATAAACCCAGCTTTTCCAAGTATCCACAAGTCACTTGAATTAGTACTAACAAAAGACGTATCGATCAAAGAAGCACCAACAGGATTCCACTTGGAGAACATATTTAACAACTTTGTCCCATTTGAAGAAGTATTTTCCATGAAAGATGCAACAATAATTAGTAAGTAATTACAAACTTCTTACTTAAATCTTCAATACAAAATGAGACATTAATCTATAGAATCATAATCTTTTTATCAAATCACTTGCAGATATCCTTGCAATAACAACTAATGTTAAGCCGGCGATCAACTATATTACAAGACACAACAAACCAGACACTAGGAGGAAAATCACGCTTATGGATATGAGGTATATTCATGTTACTTATTTCCAATATCATAAGAGAAAAAATATTAACATTCTTTCTTTTTCATATGCAGTGGAATGCCAATGCGTGCAACTTTATTTGGAGATTTAGCTACAAATGAAGGATCGATTCTTGAAGCAGAAATCAAATATAAGCCTATAATAGCATTAACAGATTTTAAAATCTCTATATATCAAGGTACATAAATTATTGCTGAAATTTTTATTAAAGATAGCTAAACATACAATTACTCCTATAATTTTCTCATTTTTGCAGGGGATACAAGCATATCGTCACAAATTATTTTAACATTATGTATCAACCCAAAAATAGAACTAGCTAGCGAATTAAGGGAATGGTAAGCAGAACAAGCATACTTTCATATAACCCAATAATGGAATATTATTATTTGTTAATATAATATGCAGGTTTCAATTGGAAGAAGCTGCAAAAGCAAAAGGATCTCCATCGACGCTTTTTAAAAATGCCAAGGAAATTCATATTAGTGAAATTATGCATAAGTCACAGAATTCGATACAGGTACAATATTATATACATATTCGTATCTACAAATTTAAATCTAACTAAATTTTGTGAATATACAGGCACGGTATTGCACATTTAAGGCAAAGATAACTACTATTTTAAATAGGCTCGAGCCATGGTTCTATGCTTGCAAAGGCTGTGACAAGAAGGTTGATAAAGATGTTAGTAAAGAGTGTCTGAATGACAAATGCCGCAGAATCATTGATGACCCAGTACCAAGGTTAAGTAATATATCTTTTTTTAATACCATGAACATATTAAAATGCAATACTAATTGTCTTTAGAAATTAACAATGAAAAATACAGGTACTTAGTTAAGATTCTCGTGGAAAATGGCACGGATAATGCAAGAGTAACACTCTTTGACGCAGCAGAAACTCTTATTGGATGCAAAGCAGAAACATTCATTACAGAAAAGAAAGAGGTAATTCCTAACTCTATTCAAGTAGTAAATTAGAAAATAAACAAATTCATAAGTATTAATATAACATTTGTTCTCATTGCAACAGAAAAATAATCAGAGTCCATATTTCCAAAAAATTGTTTTGAACATCGGAAAAACATTCAAATTCCTGGTGAAGTTAGATGAAAAGACAAAAGATGAACGAGACGAAGGCAATATAATAGCACAAGAAATTCAACTCCAGTCTGATATTACAATCGACGTAGATGATGAAGATGCTACTCTAGAGTTGCCCAGAAAAAAGATAAAGGTGGAGAAAGATTGATCTCCGTTCAATTAGAAATTTTCAAGAACAATATTTTTTAATCATTTTATATAACAACTTATTTTTTTATTACAATTAGGAATTTTTATAAGGCATTTTAGTTTTGTATGCTTATGTGATTGCTTACATCACATAAAATTACATTTTGATATTTAACCATTTTACTATATTTTGTTATTGTCTATGGATAGCGCAGAATGTGATCAATCATTTATGATATAAAGGTGGACTCTTTAACCAATTGGCAAAGAATTATTGTTGTGATGAATTTGCTTGGGGTTGTCACAAACCTCAATATACTTTGTTTTCACAAAAAAAAATTTTGGCTTACTAATTATTACTTGTTAAGATTGTTGTCATGTTGAATAAGAGGCAAAATTTGAGCAATATTTACTTTCATACTTTAATTAAGTTCCTGTTAGGTGTTGGTGGTGGTGATCAATTAAAAATTCTTAGAATAAAAATAATTTACAAGTTTGCAGTAAATCAAACAATTAACTTAGCTTTTTCAGTCAAAAAATATTTGAATAAACTTAAAATTTTGAAATATTTTCTACATTACTATAACTAAAATTCATAATAACAATTACAATATCCCAAATACTTATATTCATCCAAGTTTAACTTAAATTTCTTTACATTTTTTTAATATTTAAATAAAATACTAATAAATCTTATAATTCAATTATACATATTTGAACTCAAGATAAAATCTTTTCATGGTTAGTATTACCCTCAACTTTTTTAAATATTACATTGTTATCCTAATCTATTCTAATTATCTTATCTTCTATGAATTAGTAACTAAATGATTTATCATATTTAAAATGAGACTTAACGTGTTATTGGATAAAGAAAATACGTTTGATATAATTCAAATCCTTTATTTATTTCAGTTCACGGAGAAATCTAAAAAACATATGCTAGCCAGCACCTAAAAATTTTTGGACTTTGTAAAAAAAATCCTCCAAGTTTTTTAAATTGCAAAAACACCCCTACAAATTTAAAATTTTATTAAACCATCTTGAAAATTATAAATTTTACTTATTTCAATTCAGTGAGAAATCTAAAAAATATATACTAGCTAGAAACTAAAAGTTTTTTTAATTTGGAGAAAATATATTGTGAATTTTAAAAATTACAAAAACACCCCTAAAAATTCAAAATCTAATACTATTATAAAAGTGGATTGGCATGTTAAAATATTTCTTCCAAAAATGCCCTCCAAACCACATACGTACATACATAAAACACATGCATCCATACATATAAACACATACATATATATGCATACATTCTAATAATTTCATAACTCTTCTATTAATTGTCCACTAATATTAACTTCTAATTTTTGTAACCCCTCCACCAATCCAATATTAATGTCATCAAACCATTCATATCTATCATAATTAAAAAAACGTTACAACCATTCATCTTCTTACTAAACCACTATAAATTTAATCTAATCATATTAATTACGATTTATCTATGGTAGAAAAATTACAGTATCATTAGGATAAAGGTACAAATTGTCTCTAGTCTTTTCGTTCTTCACTTATAAAAAATTAAGGACATACATTTATTATTTTGAAAATTATTTCCACTACCGTTACACTCATTTACACCTATCAATGATGCATGATTACAAATGAAAATTTCAGTTTAGAATTTAAAGGTCATGTGATTCCTATAAATTGTCCTAATTTCCTCAGTCAAACATATCCCGCATCAAATAGAAAATAGAACTTGGAGAAAAAGGTTGAGGAAGGGAAGAAAAGACAATCATCACAGGTTAGTAAAAAGGTAATCATAGTTTATACTATTATTATAATTTACTTATAGCTTTCAAAAATAGTGTTAGATGGTTACGTAAAAACATGTAGATAGTAAAAAGGTAACTACATGATTTTCTATTAAGATGCACTCGTTTATAAAAAAACACCTTCAAAATTTCAAACTTATAAACACACTAAAAACCTACAAATAACACAAACAACCCCCAAAATTTTATGGAATTTACAATAAACACTCTGAACTTTTTACAAATTACAAAATAAAACCCTCAGAAATGTAAATTTATAAAAATTTTGATAATTTCTAACCTAATAGTACATTGAAAATATAGGAATTACAAATATCCCCTACATAATTTATAATTTAAAGAAAACACCCTTGAAGTTTCAAAAATTACAAACAAATATCCCCTACATAATTTATAATTTAAAGAAAACACCCTTGAAGTTTCAAAAATTACAAACAAAACTTTAAAATTCAAAATTTATAAATAACACCCTGAGAATTTCAAACTCATTAGTAAATTGAAAGCATAAGAATTATATATAGTCTATAAATAATTTACAATCTAGAGAAAAGGCTTATAAGTTTAAAAATTACAAAAAACCCCTAAAATTCATAATTTATAAAAAAATACCATGAGAATTTTTAACCTATTGTTTGGTGGAAAATTTATGAAATAAAAATGAAAGAACTGTGTTTGATTTTATTCTCTCTAACTGCTTAGAAAAAGAATGTTTACAACTCTCTCAATCTTAATTACAAATTGGATTTCCTGATTATAAAAGAGAAGAGAATTGATCTGAATTCTCCCCTTTGTTTAAGTCTGGGTTCTTCACGGTGACGATGGAGTGCCTCCCTCGAATGCTCGTGTCGAGTTTGCTCTCCGTTAAAGATCCGCACGTCTCAATTCACTGGAACAATAAACTTGTGTGGCGAGTTTGATTAAGAACTCTTAATGAGTTTTATATCTCAGAATGAGTTTAAACTCTTGTGAAAAAGAGTTGTTTGAACCGAATAATCGGTTAATAAGCCAAGTAGATTTCCTGTTGCTGAAGTTGAAGATGCCAATCTTCCCCAAGATTCTTCCTTAGCCGATCTTCTGAATGCCAAAAATGCTGATCTTCAGGTGATAAAAACCGACCTCCAAAAAATCCAACCCCTTACTTTGTTGAGTTTGTTGAGGTTTTATAGGAGATAAGGGGTTGTAACTGACCCCTTAATCCGCTCCTAAGTGGGCGTGATTTCCTCAGATCGTGAGGAAAAACAGTTCTGAAACCGTTCGACTCACGTTTGAATGAGTCAAACGCCCAGGTCGACGTTCGGGACCCTAACTCTGCGTCTTAGACTTAAGACGCAGAGTTGGGTGTCTGCTGGATGCTGAAAACACAAGGGTCGCTTGCGTTTCATTTGCTGAGGGTTGGAAACGTAGGGATCGCCTACGTTTCGAGAACTGAAACGCAAAGGTGAGTTCTGCGTTTAGAAGGGGCTAGTGACTTGTAACCTCTTCTGTAAAGCGTTGCAAAGACCATTGTTCAGTAATCTTCGCTTTAGCTATTTTGAGGTGTGAAAGTCGTCAGATTATAACTCTCACAGTTGATGGTAAATGCCACTGAATAGAGTTTTCATCTTTCGTCGGAAGGGCCGTTGAATTGTAACTCCTCTCAATCTATGTGAAAAGTCCTCCATTTGCAGGTTTCGTGAAAGTCGTTCGATTGTGACTTTCGTTATCGAAATATTGATTGAGGTTTGGTAGGGACCAGCTATCTGTCATAATTTTTAGACAACCTACACCTATGAACACAAAAATGAATATACAAAATTACTAACAACCCCTAGAAAACTAAATTTTTACAAAAAATATCATACTCACTTTAAAAGTATAGATTTAGAAAAACCTTTCATGGTCAAAATTACCCGTAACTTTTTTGAAAAGAACATAAATGATTGAAAATCTAATAAAATTTAAATTTACAGAAAAAACACCCTTAAAGTTTAGCACATTGCAAATTATCTCTCCAAAGTTTGAAAATTTTCAATGATTTTTTATAATTTCTTGATTTCAATGTAATGTTTAATAGTTTTGTGTATTTATAAATTATAAAATTTTTGGGTGTTTTTTATAATTTTTAAAAAATTTTAGGGTGTTTCTTTTGTACTTTTCTAAATTTTTATTGTGTTTTTCAGTGTAATGCATAAATACGTTAATTAATGATGATATTGAAGAGTAAGTCGTAGTGTACAACACATCACTGTTCCTAGGCAGTGTAATTTATATATGCAAAAAATTCATATAAAAATTCCTTTACGAATTGAATGGTCACCGATCTTTTGAAGACTTTAAGATACTAATAAATAGAGATATTATACTAGATTAATGTGTTTATAACTCACAAATAGTAGATCAGTCTGGATTGAAGGAAACAATGACAATAAGATTATTAGACCATAATTAAGTGCGCACATCACTATTCCTAGGCAATATAGTTTATATATGTAAAAACTTTCAGATAATCTATATAGTGGTTAAAAAGTTTTTAATTTAATGTACTATTTTTTATAAATTATATTTAATGTGAACCCACCATATAATTTTGACTGTGGTCATCATAAATTTAATACGTTTGATTGATTGACTATAAACGTATATAGACCATAGATTACTTTACTTTCTCACATGAGCTAATATTTGGTGCTTAATCATTTAAATTATTACTTTTAAATTTATATAAAGAGGATCTCTAATAACATTTATTTATTTACCTACAACATAATACAATCTCAATTTCTATTTTTGCTGGAGATTTATTTCATAGTTAAGCGTATCAAAATAGTAACTAAAATAATAATTAATTATGCTTAAATTAGGATGATTATAGTTGGTCACTCACTATGAAGTTTTTATGAAGATATATACATTACTTTTTATAGCTGTCTGCACTGTCCATGTATAATTTACAAATTACTTCTTAATTTTGTAGGATCTGAAATAGATACACTTGAACACTAGAGGGGGGTGAATAGTATTTTTTAAAAATTTATGCAAAGTAGATTATAAATTACAAAGAAAAATGGCAATCTCAGAAATTCACAAACACAAACACAAAGTTTTATACTGGTTCCACCAATCCGGTGTACATCCAGTCCCCAAGCAAATCCCGCTTGAGAGTTTCCACTATGATTTTGAATAAACTTACAAAATCAAAAGCAAACCTGACCAATTTGTAACTCCCTACAAATTGTAACACCAATTGACAAACACCTTGCTAATTTGTACACCAATCTCTAAACCAAGAGATTAACACTTCTCACAAATCGAGAGAACTTTTGAAGCAACAATTTTGATTCCTATAAGCCTTGATTTGTAGTGTAGTGTAATAGTGGCTTAGGAATGATTCTAACTTCTGTA